TTAAAGTCATTTGTTGATTTCTGTGGATTTGGTTCAAATACTACTATTGTTCTTTTCAATTTTGAGTGGATTGAGTCCGGTAACGAAAATCTTTAAATTCAGGTGCAAACTACCAGTAATGAAAGTCTTTTCTAATTCTGTGAATTGTTCAAAGCTACTATTGTTAGAATTGATGTTGTAAATGATATTTACAGATGTAATATGTTAATTGGTTGATTACGATGGTCAAGTGCAGGTTAGAGGTGCATGACAAATTGGTAAAGGTAATTAAAGTCATGTGCTGATTTCTGTGGATTTGGTTCAAATACTACTATTGTTTTTTTCAATTTTGAGTAGATTGAATCTATTGAATCTGGTAATGAAAATCTTTAAATTCAGGTACAAACTACCAGTAATGAAGGTCTTTTCTAATCCTGCGAATTGTTCTATGCCACTATTGTTTATTAATATTGTAAATAATCTTTATGGATGTAATATGTTAATTAGTTGGTTACAATAGTTATACGTGAGTTAGGGGTGCATGACAAATTAGTAAAGGTAATTAAAGTCATTTGTTGATTTCTGTGGATTTGGTTCAAATACTACTATTGTTCTTTTTAATTTTGAGTAGATTGAGTTTAGTAATGAAAATCTTTAAATTTAGGTGCAAACTACCAGTAATGAAGGTCTTTTCTAATTCTGTGAATTGTTCTATCCACTATTGTTTAATTAATATTGTGAATGATCTTTACAGACATAACATGTTAATTAGTTGGTTACAACGGTTATACGCAGGTTAGGGGCGTATGACAAATTGGTGAAGGTAATTAAAGTCATTTGTTAATTTCTGTAGATTTGGTTCAAATACTACTATTGTTTTTTTCAATTTTGAGTGAATTGAATCTGGTAACGAAAATCTTTAAATTCAGGTGCAAACTACTAGTAATGAAGGTCTTTTCTAATCTTGTGAATTGTTCAAAGCTACTATTATTGGAATTGATATTGTGAATGATATTTACAGACGTAACATGTTAATTGGTTAGTTATGATGATTAAGTGCGAGTTGGAGGCATATGACAAATTGGTGAAGGTAATTAAAGTCATTTGTTGATTTCTGTGGATTTAGTTTAAATACTACTATTGTTCTTTTCAATTTTGAGTAGATTGAATCTGGTAACGAAAATTTTTAAATTCAGGTACAAACTACTAGTAATGAAGGTCTTTTCTAATCCTGCGAATTGTTCAAAGCTACTATTGTTGGAATTGATGTTATAAATGATATTTACAGATGTAACATGTTAATTAGTTGGTTACAATAGTTATACGCACATAACAGATTAATAAAGTCATTTTTGATTCTGTGGATTTGATTCAAAAATTACCTACAAAAAGCATTTTTTAATTGCGATAGATTTGGTTCAAAAAATGCCCAAAATGAAGTTCTTTTAATAACCGCTAGTATTTGTTTGAGAAATGTATTGTAATGATTTTATAGACGTAACATATTAATTGGTTAGTTGCGATAGTCATACGCAAGTTAGGGGCGCATGACAGATTAATAAAGTCATGGATTTGGTTCAAATACTACTGTCTTTATTTAGGTTGATTTGGTTTTGTAACAATGTGTCTTTTAAATTTGAGTGTATTGTATTCAGAAACATCTAAATTCAGTTCAATGGCTATTAGTAAATGTATTGTTAATAATTTTTTTTCAAATGTAGCATATGAATTAGTTTTTTACGGTAGTTATGCATAAATTAGGATGCATGACTAGATGTACCTTGCATAAGGTCAAAATAGTATATATTCACAATCTCATGCAAAGTTAATTGTATGATTTTGTGTTATTTAATTGATAACTTGTTGATTATTAAAATTTTTAGTTGAATATATTTATTTCATGCAAAGTTAACATCATTTTGTGCAAGATGCATGAAGTTGCGGGTGTGAGAATTTTGTTATCTTATGTGAGGTACATCTTTATGCATGACTAATAATTAATTAATAGTCTGCTACATATTGTATAATAGTTTATTATTTAAAAAAAAAATTGTGGAATTGGTTCAAAATCTACTAGTATGCAATTTTTTTAAAAGTGAATTAGTCAAAATCAACAATTAAAAATTCTTAAACTATTATGACAAATATTTTTTATTATCATTATGCATATTTGGATAATTATAGTTAATCATTATAAATATTGTAATTTAGATATTATATATTATTTTTTTATTTTATAAAATTATTATTTGATTAATTATATAATTATTATAATTAAAATTTAATTATAAATATAATATAATTTGTAAAATTTATTTTTTAAAAATTAAATTTTATTTTATAAAAATGTCTAATTTTTCTTTAAACAAAAATATTTTTGAAGAAACTCATAAAGAAAATACATAATTGCAAACTGATCTTTCAAGTTTACAATTTCAATATTTAGATCAAGAAAATATTAATTTATCATCATTAGATAATTCTGAAATTCTTGAAATTTCAGAAAGTAATCTTTTAGAAAATGAAATTTGGACTGAAGAAGAAATTTCTAAATTTAAAATATTATATTAAAAAACAAAAGATATTTTAGAAAATCAAGATGATGATAATCAAAAATTAAAAGATGAAATTACTTTATTATAAAATAATGAATTTAAAGAATCTTATAATAAAGCATGTTGTGAAAAAAATTGTTTACAAAGTCAATGTGATTATTCGGTAGCTTTAAAAAGGCATTTAAATTTTAAAAATCTTTCTAAATCTTTTCAAGATATATATTTATTAGGTATTATTTCAGCTACTAAACGACCTGAAATAGTTCAAAATTTAAAAAAATCTAAGCTTTCAACTGAATATATTTTTGAAGGAAAACTAATTTGTTTAAATGCTTTTAAAATAATTTATAATTTAGGAGAAAAAAAATAGAAAAATTTAAGAGAACATTTTACAAAGAATGATATAAATTTAAAAGAAAATTTAAGAACTGGAAAATTAGAAAATAGAGCATTATCATTTGAAACTATATTGAATATTATTACTTTTATAGCAAATTATGCTAAACAAAATAGTTTGCTATCTCCAGATATAATAAATATTCAAATAATTATAGTTAATTAATTAATTAATTTGTTTATTTATTTATTAATTAATATATATTTAATAGGACAAAGTTTTAGAGATAATACTAATGCAATTATATATTTACCAGCTGATATTACTTATTCTTCATTATATATTCAATATATAGAAGCAATAGAAAATAGTAATTAATATGGAGTATGCATAACAACTTTTAATAGTATTTGGAAAAAATTTTTACCACATATCAAAAAATTAATACTAAGAAGTGATTTATGTTTAAAGTGTAAAGATATGAGATTTAATACTAATTATTGGACAATAGAGGAAAAAGAATCTAAAGTATCTGAATGGTACAAACATATTGAATGGGCATATAAAGAAAGAGAAAATTATAAGTAAATAAATTTATTTATTTTTATTTTATTAAATAATATTAATTACTTATTTAAA